GGGAACCTTGGTGGTAGGGGAAACCCACCCCCAAACCCTAAACCCTAAACCCCTAAACCCCTAAACCCTAAACCCTAAACCCCTAAACCCTAAACCCCTGAGCCATTTCTCATTGCAGCCTGTCAGCTTATCCGGCTTCTGACTGATGGCTTTTTGGCCCAAGAAAGATTTCAGAGCCTCGTGCTTTCCAACAATCTCCTTGCCTTCGCAGCTTCAACCTAGTAGCCATGCGTGAGGCAGCTGGTTTTTAACGGTAGTTTTGGGCCACTGCTTTCGGTTTTGGCATTGAGGCTTCAAGCTAAGGGACTCAAGGTTTGTGCCTCTATAGCTCTCTTAAGGGAATCATGTTGTGTTTTGTGTTTCATACCTTAAGCAGTTGTATGAACCCCAGCCGTGCTGAAGAAGCGCCAAGGCAATCTGCATCCACATCGGCCAGGCTCGATTGCCCTCATTTCTTGAATTCATTTCTCTACTAACCTCAAGGCCTAAATCCTAAACCCCAAAGCCCTAAACCCCCAAACCCTAAACCCTAAACCCTGAAGCCCAAAACCCTAAACCCTTAAACTCTAAAGCCTTACCTTTGTGAGGCAGTGTCAGGTGAGGTGCTGCCTTTTTACAAGCCTCGCATAGACCTGATTTAGAGTTTAGGGGTCTAGGGCTCCGGTGTTTAGGGTCTAGGGTTTAGGGCTCCAGTGTTTTGATGGTGGCAGAATAGAATGCAGAAGGGCACTACTTCGGGCTCAGGGGACCAGTAACTGATTATTGCGGAGGTTAAAAGGTAGGCCAGCCGCAATTCGGAAACTCATGACCCTAAACTCTAAACCCTATACCCTAACCCTCAACCTTCAACCCTAAACTCTAAACTCTATACCCCAAACCCTATGGCCTGCTTTCTCAGTAACCCAAGCCTTTCAGTAAGATGATTATCTTTATCCCTTGTGCGGGCTGGTAGTGGGTTGCAGCCTATCCTTAGGCTGTTCTATACCTTGTATTTCCTCCGCGTTTTAGGGTATAGGGTCTAGGGTTTAGAGTTTAGGTAGCAGTCTACTGTCAATATCAGGGTTACCTAGAGACCATTAACAGTGGACATAAGGGTCTGCTTGTAGTGTATTATAGTTCCTAGCAAGGAACAAAGCCTTTCTGGTATGTAGGAGATATTGACTGTAGCTCATATAAGCTTTATGCAAGTCATGTGGTGCAAGTTTGAAAGTTCAAGAATCTTATTAAAGGTGAATGATGATTAGTGTTTATCCCCTCATGACTTTTGCATGGCTCTGGCATAGTATACCCACACGCCCTATTCGAAGTATTTAGCCAGGACCCTAGACCCTAAACCGTAAACCACCCGGGACGGGTTCCTGGCCAGGGAAGAGAGGTTACTGAGGATTTAGGGCATCTTGTGCTCCCATCTTCCAAGTGCTGCAAAATTGTTTTCATCAGCATTCGTATTCTTTTCCTGCATGTTTCAGGACACCCCAAAGCCTCCCTCAAGCTGCACCGCGCAGTGTAGGTGGTACCCATGTAACGTAGACCCATGATTAATAACTCCCTCCTTCTAAGGGCCCTGAGACTCCGATTAGAATCCCCATTAAGGGGAGGGGGGTTATGAACCAGGGGTCGATAGTAGCTTGCAGGGCGGCGTGCAGATCGGCAATGCTTGCTGGGAGCTCTTCTGCCTCGAGCACGGCATCCAGCCTGATGGCCAGATGCCCTCCGACAAGACGATCCTTTGCTGCGTTTGGACTATAATGTCCCCTTGCGCTCCTTGTATAAATATGTAACTACTGTATAATATACACCCAAAATCTTGTTTTGGGTTTCAGGTGTTATCCTCTGATAGCTTCTGCGTAAGTGTAGCAAGCCATGGCACAAAGTCTGTTGGAAGATGCACTTTGTCAAGACATTCTCGCTCCGCTGAGTGTCTGTTTGGGTGCTACAAGGATTATATACCGCTTGCATGGGACTGGCCTCAACCTTGGTGACACGGTTCCTACTCAGGAGTTTCAAACAACGGGGGACCCCAAAAGAGGCCCCAATAGACCATAATCCTTCTTGTAGGAACAGCCAACAAGGGATCCCTGATTTTTGGAAGCCCCAGACCCCGTAAACGCTATAGAATCCTTGTTTCAATTTACTTGTCCTTTATCGTTTCCGTTTGATTCCCCATTATTTTATCGCAGTTTCCGTTTTCTCTTCCATTACCCCAACAACGTGCTCATATATCTACATGTCAAAACCTTATATGAGCTATACTCTAAACTCCTTAAAGGGGGGTTATATATGGGATTATATAGGGAACTGAGGGCCATATACATATACATATCGCTACGGACGCCCTATTCGAGCCAATATGGCCCCTGTATCTATCCAAGCCTTTTCCCTCAACCCCATCTGAGCCATGGTCTAAACTCCTAGTATCTCCCTTAATAACCCCTACAATACTCCCCAATATCATCCCGCATATAACCCAGCTTTAGGGAGTTTAGACTATAGCTTGGGTACTGCCCCCACTCAGTAACAGTTGGATAATATTTATATTATAGTTATATGTATCCCTTAATATGACCCCTAGTACAGACTGTTACTGGGTGGGGGCAGTGCCCAAACTATAGCTCATCTAGATTCCTCTTTTGACATGTCAGATAGAGGCTTCGTCCCAAAGTTGTTCTACCTATGAAATAACCTATATGTACTTTTAAGGGTCCCTAGAATTTCCCTAAAAAGGCTAAGGGTAAGGGCCCATATTATGGGCCCATACTTCTAACTCTAAACCTAAATCCCAAACCCTAAACCCTGAACCCCAAACCCTGTTTTCAGAAGCTTTCCAACGTGAGGATTGGAGGAGGAGATGCTCCCTGGATGCATCTCAAACCGGCATTTCACACCTGGGTTTGGGTTTAGGATTTGGGGTTCGGTTTAGGGTTCAGTGTTTAGGGTTTAGGCCTTAGTGTTTAGGGTTCAGGGTTTCGGGTTGAGGAATATCACCTCCAATCATGAGGAAACAAATGGAGAAGAAACTGGAACATGAAATGGAAACTGGAACTGGGCCTATTTATGGGGATCGTCCCCAATTTTAGTGTAGTACGGTCCCCTATAGTGCGGTTCCTATTACGATACGTGTGCTAAGATAAGATTTCCACCCCCCTCCCCCCTTTTGGGAAACAGTAATACACTAATTTAGGCCAAGTCCCACATGGGGTCTGCTTGTGGAGGTCCTTTTAATAGGGATAACCATCTATTTATGGGTAGGTAGCCAACATAGTTCTGGCCGTACAAGTACTTGGAGGCTCAGGGTCTGCAACCTACTTTCAATAATGGGATCATTGGGTTTTAACTGCAGATAAGGACCTTCAAGCAACACGCAGGGAAGAGATTTCCAGTTCTGGGTTTGTGGTGTACTCTTCATTGCTGTCGGCATTCTTGTATTCGTGCCAGTGGTAGAGTCAGGAGTGCCTGTTGATGTGGTTTACGTTGTTTGCGGAGTGTCTAGAAACTTGCTGTGCTGTCATGGAAGATGGCAGGCTAGGCATAGTGTCTCTTAAGGCTAGTTTAAACCGATGTCAGATGCTGAGCTTTCACTAGCGTTTTTCCGGTTGTCCTCCTTAATCTTGGAAGCTGTCCCTTTCAACATCAACGCGCAAATAGTCATCCAAGATACAGGAGTGTCCCGGTATAAATCCGATGTAACCCTCGAGACGCGTACGGTTTCCACGGTGTGAACAGCATCATCACGGCTCCAACGGCTTGAACGGGACGAACTTTGTCAACAGCATCAAGGGCGTCAACGGTGTCTACGGCAGTACCCTACGGGTCCAAGTACCCAATAGTCATATAAAGTCATATACTTACCCAAAACCTGTACTAGAATTACTATTCCCAAAATCCCAAGTACCTAAGTATTGGGTACTTGGGCCCTTAGGGTTAAGTAATAATTAAGGGTGTCAACGACGTCCACTGCGTCTGCAGCGTGAACAGCAACAACAATGTCAACTTCGCCGACGGCGTCGGCGACGTCAACATCTCCAATTATTTTGAACCAAGATGCATCGATGAGACGACGCGCACGTCAACGTCACTACTATTATAGTACCCGCACCGGGACAACCCTACGCCCCTAAACCGGACACCCGCACGCCGTACGCCCTCGACCCTAAAACGGCTACTTGAAATCAAGGCTTCAACAGCTTCAACCGAAATTACTTAACGTCTGTAGATGTCGCCGCAAAATTCCGCAAACCTTGCGTAGAAGGTCCCTAGGGGCGCGCCTGGTTTGAGAAACCTCTGAATCCCCAGCCTTAGCCCTAGATCCTTCAAACCCCAAACATCTCATGAATCCTCTTTATAAGGTTTAGGGTTCAGGGTAGGTTTAGGTTCCAGGGTTCAGGCCCATTGTGAGAAAATTCCATTTCCCTGCAGGACGCCTTCAACACTTTTTTCAGCGAAACGGGCGCCGGCAAGCATGTGCCTCGCTGCGTGATGGTCACTTGACTGTGGTCGTTAGAAGTTTTACTTTGCTTCTTTCTTGGACGCAAAAACCTTAAACCCCTTAGGGTTTAGGTTTTAGGGTTTAGGGAACCCTTAACCCCTAAAGGTAGAGTACTTTTTACGGAATATGAGAACGTCCAAGCCGTTGCTCAAGCCTTGTGCTCTTCAATTTGTTCAGCCCAAGATCTTGCTGAAAATGACAGCGGACGTTCAGCAAGCCTTCATGTGCAACAACACCCAGCAAAGGCGATGGACAGCAGCCCCAAGCAGATGTAACGAGAAGTAACTCATGTTTGGGACAGACCTCTGCCTCCGTGCCCCTATCTCTGAACCCTAAACCCCTAAACGCTAAACCCTAACTAGCATTTTCCATTTTCTTTTCCATTCTCCCAATATATCCCCTATATAACCCCTATGTTCCTGGTACATGTCCTTCTCTGGAGCAGCTCGCAGGTTAAACCCCTGAATAGCTTTACATGACCCTTTTCTTTTTTTGTATCAGAGTCCCGAATTAGGTTGACTTGGAACCAACGGTCGTGGATGAAGTGCGGACAGGAACCTATCGCCAGCTCTTCCACCCTGAGCAGCTCATTTCAGGAAAGGAAGATGCGGCGAACCCCGCTTTGAGATTCATGGGGCTTAGGCTTCAAGGGCTGTTGGTTTTGAGGGATATAACGTAACTGTTCCTCAATTTTCTTTCAGCCCTCACCTTTTTGGGAGCCTTGCTGGGATTCGGAAACACGGTTTAAGGCTTAGGATTTAGGCCTTATAAGGGTTAAGGATTTCCGACAATTGGGTTTTGGGAAGTCCTCAAACCTCGAAACCCCTGTCACGAACTGAGAAACAATTTCGCACGCGGGCACTACACCATCGGAAAAGAGATCGTTGACCTGGCGACTCGGCTTTGTTTTCTTACCCGGCTTGCTGTTATGGAACTTAAACAAAGTTACAATGGTTGTTGCCACACGGTTTAGGGTTTGTACGGTTTGGGTTCATCCCTAGTTCTTAATTAGTATGGAAGAAGGGAAGATAATCTCCACATAATCCTTATATAATATATTCCTATCACTATTCCCTACTAACTCCCCGTAAGTTTAAACCCTAAACCCTAAAGGGTTTTAACTTTGGAGTTCGGAGTGGGTTAAAGCGCTGGTCAATGTTGGTTTCAAGCACGCGAACCAAACCTTAAGATTCTGTGTGGTGCTTTGGGCATCAGGGAATATGATCCCTCTATAACCCCCATATAAGAATAGTAATGATAATAACATATTTCCTTATTCCTTACTAGGCACCAGTAAGCTATAGGGGTTTGACAAAGGTCCACAGGGACAATGAAGGTTACCGGCATGGTAGAGCGCTTAGGGCTTAGGGTAAGACACGAACTGCTAAATCCCCATGTGCTTGTGAGATTTCTCCACTACTCACTCCTCGTTGCAAGAGGGTTGAATCCAGGCGCTTGTATCAATTATTCCTAATCATTCCTGCGTTGAGAGCTTTGTGGTACACACGAGCCTGCCCAGAGCCGCAAGCCTCAAACGCTGCCTTGAACTTTACAGCACGAACCAGCTAAGCTCTCTGTAGAGCTGTCCAGAAAACGTCCCTCAAAAAGACCCTGATTCTGATTCCTAAGCCGTAATATAGGGGCCTAAATAATTACCAATATTATGGTTCCATATTCCTTGTATAATTCTAGAATACGGTACCTCAAATGGACCTCAAAATGATGTTGTTAATTATTTAGGCCAGTGTGGTAGAGGCGTAAATCCTATGCCCGAAGCCCCTGGGCCAACGCCTTCAAACCCTAGCCCCAAAGGCCTGAATCCTGAGCCCTAAGCCTGACACCCTGGCGCCTAAACCCCAAAAACCCTAAAGCCCTCATGGTAGTTTCCCAAATAGGGGTGCCCCAATACATAACCCCAAATACTAATCCTTATATTATAGGGACCCCCAAAAGGGTACCCCTAATTGTGGGGAACCCCCATACCCAACCCTAAGCCCCCAAGCCTAAACCCTAAATAGTAGTTTCCCTTTTCTTTTCCATTATCCCTTTTTAATGCCTGATTTTGGGAAGGCCTATATTATACACTGATGGCTCAAGTGGGTGTTCAAGCTTTTCGCCTTTTTTGCTTGCCTCATGTTACGAGGGTGCCCCTGGGTTTCTGGGATCCTTTTAAACGAACTCTAGGGGACTACATTGGCCCATATGAGCTACAGTCTAAACTCCTGAAAGGGGAATATATAGGGGATTCTATAGGGGAGTATATAGGGGGGTCATTAAGGGGGGATACTAGAAGTTTAGACGGTGGCTCATATAACATTGGCCCATATAAGGGCTACAGTAAACTGTAAACCCTAAACCCTTACACCCTAAACTATATTGGGGAAACCTTTTAGGGGTACGACCTTAGGGGTACAACGCACGAACCCTTCAATGTTGCAACTTGATGGCCTCTGACGGTAGGGGGGGCCAAGGAAGAATGCTAGGGCTTAGGGTTCAGGGTTTAGGGCTCAGGGTTTAGGGGTTTAGGGTTTAGGGTTTTAGGGTTTCAGGGTGTTAAAGTTTAGGGTTTAGGGTGTGGAAGAGAGGCAGTTTCTTGACAGCTGCTCCCACTTTTGAAGCCCAAGCCTTACAGCCGTACACGTACCTAAATACATATGCCAAATGGAGCGTCAAACACCATAACAACAGCCAACCATACAGATAGATCCTCATGTTCCTAGCTTAGGTCCTTGATCGCATCCGCAAGCTCGCAGACAACTGTGGCCTGAAGCATTATGAGATTGAGGCCTAGAATGTAGCACGTTTAAGAGTTGAGGGCTTCAGGGTTTGGGTTTCATGGTTGAGGTCAGGGGTCTGGGGTTTAGTTTTTTGCTTCGGGGTTTCGAGTCTAGGGCTTAGTCTCTGGGGTTAGAGGTTCAGGGTTTAGGGTTAGGGGCTTAGTCTTGTTGATGGCTATGACTACTTTTGGGTCGGTAGTCCCCTTCTTATTAAACCGCCCGAACTTTCTGGAAGCCCAAGAGTCTGAACCATGCTACGAACCCAAGCCCTCATCCCCAAGCTTTTTTTTACCTCCCCAAGTCGGGGCTTCTGAATACCCCAGGATGCCACATGTACCCGCAGAATTCCCATTCTTTGACGGGAAGCTGTTCTGAATACGTGGGATCTCATTCAGAGGTGTTGTTACATAAGTGTCCGCTTTCTTTTGGTTCGACAGAGTTCCTCAACCCTGCTTCGACCCAAAACCCTAAAGGCACCAAAGCCTAAATTTTTGAACACTGAACCCAGTGCCCCAAACCCTAAACCCTCAACTCTGAACCCTAAACCCTCAACCCCAAAACCCTAAACCCTCAACCCCACACCCTAAACCCTGAACCCTCAACCCCAAACCTGAAACCCGAAACCTTAAGTGCTGAGGCACTGGACTGCAGGGCTTCTGCGTTTACAATGCCTGCGGCTGGGTCAGCTTTTGCATCTTTGGGTCTTGAGAGAATGGAAAAGAAAATGGAAACAACTATTTCATATAGGGGATATATGGGGGTTGTATAGGGTTATATAGGGCTAATATTGAGGCTTTAGGACCTAGAGGTCGGTCTATTTGGGGCTTAGTGTTTGAATTTAGGGTTTTGCGAGTTGATATCTTACGCCTGAAGATTAAGGGCTTCGGGTCTAGTCTCTAGGGTTTAGAGGTTGAATCTTACGTTTCTGGGTTGGCAGAAACTTTTACAGCATTGGGTTGGAGAGTTGAGTGTTTTGGATTTATGAATAACCCCATAAGAAAAGCTGTGTCAACAGTATGGCCCAGGTGGAGGAGGAACTGGATCCGGTCTCGGCTGCCTGATGTTGGAGCGTCTCTCCGTGGACTACGGAAAGAAACTAGTCAGCAATCCTTGTGAACTTTCTTAAAGTCTTGCCTGTACAGTTCGCGCATATCAGAACCTTCTTCAGCAGTTATGATTGTGGTCAAGTCGTTTTAACTGGTCTCAGTTTGATCATAGTTGGCCCTGGATGCCTAAGGTTAGAACGCTAAACCCTAAGCCCTAAACCCTAAATCCTAATCCCAGGAAAAGCAAGATCTCCTTCACGGTCTGGTGCTGCCCTCAGGTTGCCACTGCTGTGGTTGAGCCGTACAATACCGTCTCTTGGTAACTGAGTAGTACACGGGTTTAGGGTTTAGTGTTTCATACTTTTTGGCATACTTGGCCCCCTTGCAGCCCAAACTCTCGACCCTAAACCCTAAACCTAAACAAGCCTGTTTGAATGCGGCCCATTAAGTTCGACCGCTCAGGTCTTGTGCGTGCACTCCCTGCTCGAGCACACAGATGTGACAATCATGTACGACAATGAGGCGCTCTACGACATCTGTCGCAGGCACAAGGGATCGCATCAGCAGTAGTAGTAGGAGGAGTAGCAGTAGGAGGAGTAGTTGTAGGAGGAGTAGTAGTGGTGGTGGTGGCGGCGGTGGTGGTGGTGGTGGTGGTGGTGGTGGTTGTGCAGGTGGTGCTGGTGGTGATGATAATGGTAGTGGTAATGAAAATGGTAGCGGTAGTGGGAATGGGACTGGTAGTAGTGGCGGCGGTGATGATGGTACTGGTAGTGGAAGTGGTACTGGTAGTGGTGGTAGCCGCAGTAGTAGCATCAGTAGCAGCAGCAGGAATAGTAAAACGGTATATCAAACATATTCGCAGAACATATTCGCAGTAGTAATTGCAATGGTCTGGTGCAGGTAAAGGGGGTTGTAGGTGGAGGTGGCAGGTAAGTTGGCTGAGACATGTTGCATGAACATGAAGTGGCCGAGCTTATCTCGTTGGAAATGTTTGAAGCAGCTAGCTTCCAGACAATCTCAGCTGACAAGCAGGAACCTCGACATCGAGCGTCCCACCTACACCAACTTGAACCGTCTCATCGCTCAGATCATCTCCAGCTTGACCGCGTCCCTGCGTTTCGATGGAGCCTTGAATGTGGACATCACGGAGTTCCAGACCAACCTGGTCCCGTATCCCCGCATCCACTTCATGTTGACCTCCTATGCCCCTGTCATATCTGCGGAGAAGGCATACCATGAGCAGCTCTCCGTGGCTGAGATCACCATGTCCGTGTTCGAGCCGGCGTCCATGATGGTCAAGTGCGATCCTCGTCATGGTGCCCAGGCGGATACAGGTTTGGGGTTTAGGGCTCTTACCCGGAAAGAACATGGACAATGAAATGGACACTAGGGCTCTGACATGGAGAGTAAGAGGTTTCTATACAGGGCAGCCGGTACATTCAAGTCCCCATTTTATTGACTAAAGCCTTCAGATGAATGGTTGGCGGATAGAAAGCAACTCAGGTAAGTACATGGCCTGCTGCATGATGTACCGTCCGGATCCCAGTTGTGGCATAAATCTGTTCTGCATGGTTGGCTGCCTTTCCTGCCAGATTGGCCGATGCTAAGGCGGCGATGTGGTGCCAAAGGATGTGAACGCCGCCGTGGCCACCATCAAGACCAAGCGCACGATCCAGTTTGTTGACTGGTGCCCAACCGGCTTTAAGTGCGGTATCAATTACCAGCCTCCGACCGTGGTCCCCGGTGGCGACTTGGCGAAGGTCATGCGTGCCTGCTGCATGATTTCGAGCCTCGGCTATATAGAGGGCTCCAATGTGTCAAGCAAGAGGTAAGACATGTTTCGATGCACCAAGTCCTTCAAGATTGCTTGGTCTAAGCTTCCCAACCAAGAAACAGCGAACATGATGATTTCTGCGTAGTTATTCACCCTGAACCCTGAACCTTAACCTCCGCTCTAACCCCAAGCTGGCTTACAAGAGACGGATGTGAGGTTTGTACTGGGGGTTTAGAACTTCAGAGCAGGACTAGTTGGATACTGCTCCCGCCCAGTAACAATTGGATAACATTGGTACTATACTTGTACATACAGCCCTTAGTACCTAATACTACCCTTATTATAGACTGGTAGGGGCAGCACCCGAAGAATAGTCCAGACTGAAGCGAGCCATTTGGGTGCATAGTTCGTGGATCCCCCCACTCACCGACTGCCCCCAGCCCTTTCCTGCTCGCGGTTCAACACTCCAAAGGCTAAGGTGATATAGACATAGTTAAGGCCAATTAAAAGGAGACAATTTGGGGGGTGGGAAGTTTAGGACTTTTTACAGGATAGCGAGGATATACAAGGATTACATTATGATCCTCTTATGTCGGGTTGGGGGTGTCCTAAAGTGTGCTGTGGGGGCTGTTTGGAGCGAAGTATTATCTGCAAGCCGTAGTCCCTTCAAATAAGAACCTGGATTAGATTTCTTCAGCCAATTCCGTAGTTGAGGGCGCTTGGGCTGCTAAGGCAAACCTAAAAACACAAGTCATAATCAGGTCATATCCTCTATCTAATTCCGTATACTTTCTTTTTGGATCAAAGTAGCAACCCTAAACCCTAAACCCCAAAAAAACCCTTCTTCGGGACCCCACAGCCTTAACCCTAAGGGCTAACGACTCGTCAGGGATGCTGAGTTAGCCCCTTTTTGCTTTTTGGAGTCCTAAGTTCTTTATAGAAATAGTTTAGGAGGACCCCCCCCCTGTAATAGTGGTATAATAAGAATATAAGAGGATCCTAATATAATCCCTATTATCCCTTATAGTCACTATTACTGGGTGGGGGGTCCACCTAACTAAGAACTAGTCCAGATTAAGCAGGGGAACCTTTCTTGTCCTATTTTTTTGGGACATCATCTGAATTCAAAAAGGGTAACTTTGTTGGTCCTAACCTTTCTTGTCCTAAGTTACTGAGAAATGATCTAGATTCAAGAAGGGGACACCTTTTTGGTCTTAAGTGTCTAGGCGTCCCAGTCTTGGAAAAGCAGAGGAACAGCACCGCTATCGCGGAAGTCTTCTCCCGCATCGACCACAAGTTCGACTTGATGTATTCCAAGCGAGCCTTCGTCCACCACTACGTCGGAGAAGGTCCACCTTGGGGAAGTTGGATTTTATCTTTTCGGGTCGAGGGTGATTGCTTGCTGTTAGTTAGGGAACTTACATTAGGTTGTATACGTAGTACAAAGCAGGGTTTCCTCCTTATCCCTGAAACTTCATTTAAGTTCCTCAAGCGCAACCCAGATCAGGATTTAGGGTTTGGGTTCAGATCAGAGTTTAGAGTAGTGTGGTTCGGATTGAGGATGTTTAGGGCTTAGGTTTAGGGTGCTCAGAGTTCAGCGTGTAGGGTTGAGGTTGCTTTCCCTAAGCCCTAAAGCCTAAACCCTAAACCCCTAAATCCTAAAGCGGAAACCCTAATCCGAAAATCCTAAACCTGATCCCTACACCCTAAACCGGGTCCATGCTGGAGAGGCCCCAAACCCTCATCCCTCAACCTTGGAAGTTCCTAGCCTCTGAGTTCTTTCTTGGGCTGTTTAGGGTTCAGGATTTAGGATTTAGGGTTGAGGATTTTGGGTTTAGGGTTTAGAGTTTAGGATTTAAGGTTTAGGGTTTAGGACTTTGGATTTAGGGTTTAGGATTTTGGGTCGCGTGCAAGCAGGATCCCAGAATTTGTTGTGATAGCTAGGCAAGAAAGCAGTCTAGGATGAAATAAATGCTGCACCTTTAGCCCTTGACCAAAGCCCCCCAAACCTTAAACCCTAAGCCGAAATTCCTAAGCCCTAAACTCCAAGCCCTGAGCCCCCTGAAGCCCAAATCCCACCGAAACACTAAACGAGAAGGGCTTTGGGTAGCTTCTGTTTGCTTTTACATTCCCCAATGTAATTGTTTAGGGTTTAGGGTTAGGGTTTAGGGTATATGTGCCTGTATATCCCAATGCAATCATCACATTTCCTATATACCCCTAATACACCTTTACAGTCAACCAGTAGTTCCCATTTTCTGCTCAGTTCCTCCATGTATGGCTCCTATATAACCCCTTATACCCAATCTGAAACAGACCCAAATCCTCTTTCCATGGTCTTTTCATTTTTCACTCTCCTATATCACACCTTGGAAAAGCCCTACAACCAACTAGAAACAGCCTTAAACCCCAAACAATGAACCCTAAACCCTATACCCCTCTATAATTGACCTGAACCCTGAACCCCTAAACCCTAAACCCTAAACCCTAAATCCTTCCTACTATAATGAACCTGAGCTCTAAACCCTAAACCCTGAATTCCCTTATTCCCTACTATAACCCCATATAATCGCTACGTAATCCCTTAACCCCTATATAGCCCCACATAATCCCATATAACCCCTATATGATCCCTGTAAGTTTACTGAAGCAGCAAAGAGTGCTAGGCATGGAGGAAGGCGAGTTCTCTGAGGCGCGCGAGGACCTTGCTGCCCTGGAGAAGGACCCCATGAAAGGGCGCCAAAATGCGCTGAAGGGTGAAGGGTTTTGGGTTGCTAGGGTTTAGGGTTTAGGGTTTGAAAGAGTGCCAAAATGAGCTAAAGTCTAAATTCCTTAAAGGGTGTTATATCGTGGACTATATAGGGGAGTATACAGGGATAGTGGTAAAGAACATGGAAACTACTACTTAGGGTTTAGGGTCTAAATTCCTTGACGGGGGTTATATAGGGGATTATATAGGGCTGCTACTCTAGGGCTTTATTCAGGGGGATACTAGGAGTTGAGACTTTAGTTGAAATGAAGGGCTGAGGGTTTAAGGCTTGCGTGCTGAGGTTCTGGGAGAATTTGATGTATGAGGGTTTCGCGCAATTCTGGATAGGGAAGAAGCCAAGTTAAGAAATCTACACTCCACCGAACCAACATGGAAACCCATATAGCCCCCTTTTAGAGCGACTGTAGTCTTCATAGGTCCCTTTTTGGGTTTCCATGTTAGTTTCCGGGAGTCTACCCAGTCTACAGGGGTGCTGAGGTTTGTGGAGATTTCTGGGGCTATTGGGATGTGGGCATTAGCATCTAGATCTTGTTGCTCCGGACTCAGGATCTAGACTTTACCCTAAACCCTAAACCCTAAACCCTAAAACCCTAAACCCTAAACCCTTTCGGATTTGGTGTTCACAATTTAGGCTGGGGATGGCCGGGGCTTAGGGTTCAGAAGTTGGGGTTCAGGGTGTTCTCAGGGTTTAGGGTTTAGGGTTTAGGGTAGAAACCCCCATTAGGGTACCCTATACTACTATTGGGTAATTCCTAGGAACCCTTAAGGGGGATCTACTTTCTAGATCCGCCCAGGGGTTTGGGATTTTGATGACAACATGACGCGCGAGAAGCTTATCATGATCCCGCTGCTGCCGCAGCAGTGGCCAGGGCTAATGTTGATGGTGATGCTCATTGTGATGATGACGCTGAGCATGGCGATGATGTCGATGATGTCGATGATGGTGGTGATGATGATGATGATGCCTCAATGATGACGACGATGTTCATAGCGACGACAACGATGGCGATGGCGATGGGCCAAAAGATGGTTATCATGAAGATGATGACTCTGATAGCCATGTATGGTGATAGTGACGTCGATCGTGCTTTCGTTGCATTGTCAGTATTGTTGTGTGTCGCCATATGTCAGCGAATCTTCCTCTTTCGAGTCTTATCCGCAGTGACAGCAAGCAACAAGGTTTAGCCGGGCTCTCAATGATGTCCGCAATGCCTTGCGTGCTAGCCAATGCTCAACAGAATTGAATCCCTTTGCAAGAAGCTATGGATTGTTCATGCGTCCCCTACCCCGCTACACTACCCCCTAGGTCTCGCCCTTAATTAACCTTAATTAATACTAACTATCCTTCAAAAATGAGTGAGGAAGCGGGTAGAACAAAGGGGGCGCGTTGTCTGTAAATCCTCGAACTATGGTTCAACTGCGTGGTAACCCGAGCTCCTCAACTAGTACCCCTCAACCCCGCAACACCTCAACGCCAAAACCTAAACCCTGATGCCCTAACACCCTAAAACCCGAAACCCTAAACCCTAAAACCCTAAAACCCTAAACCCTAAACCCTAAACTCAAAACCCTAAAGCCCTAAACCCTAAACCCTATCTAGCTTAGGCCTTGGTAAAGCTCTTTTGAGCCTGGAGGATTACGAAGAGGTTGGCATCGAAACGGCGGAGGGCGAGGGTGAGGAGGAAGGCTACGGCGACGAGTTCTGAGCTTTCTCGTTGACAAGCCCCGGTGGGCCCCGTGAATTTCGGTAAGTAAGACTTACTGGGGGTTAGTAGGGAATAAGGGAATATATTCTCTTATATTCCTATTACTAAACACCAGTAAGGTAAGTAAGCTTTGCAAGTGACATGCATTCTAAAGTGCCAGTAGGGCATTCTTTTTTCCACATCCCAGATCTTCGTTAGCTAGCTCTAACCCGCAGACCCGCTTTGCTTGAGATACTTCACGTGTGGGCGCGCGTACATACGCCACCCTGGAGGCTTGCTACTATCATCATAATGTCATCATGCACCATTGCTAAGATTTAGACTGAAATTCAAGTCGAAATAGTCTTAGCCTGGGAGCCTACTACCCCTTTAGTGAGGAGTATTCCTGAAGTCATTTTAGGGATCTTGGTAAGATTGAAGGGTATATTCCTTAGCCGAGACGTATAGGGTTCTCCGGGTATGGCTGATGGAAGAAGGCTTGTCGAACATCCCATGGCGATTAGTATAGGATGGTTTGAATTTCACCTAAACTCTATAAGGCCTAGGGCTCATCTGGGGCAATTTGCGGAGCGATGAGTGAACTACATTCGTTGCGCGCAATGCATGGATGCTTGGAAAGGCTTCGTCTGTTCCATCCCATATGGTCTGGCACACGCGGGGCCGGAATGAGAGAAAAGACATAGTCTACAGACCGCCCGTTTTGGGGCTTAGGCTTCGCTTGCAGGAGGTTTGCATGATTTGAAGGAAGGCAAGAGAAATAGAACTTATCATATAGCTGGGGAGTATATACGTGCTACTAAAGGAGTCCATTCCTTACTAACAACCACTAAGTTTAGTTTAGGATCCGCATTTGGGCCTGCAGTTAAGGTTTCGGGTTTGGGTTGTTGATTGGGTTTGCGTGGAGGGTCAGGGGGACTTAAGAAGTAGACTTTAGAATCCCTATAAGCCATATAGTAACCCCTGTTATCCCCATTATTATTAACTTCTTTATGAAGTCCCCCACCCTAAACCCTAAACCCTAAACCCAAAACCATTTAGCTTTTGGAGTGAGCCCTTGGCGTTGTTTCCAAAGGCCCACACAGGCTGCGGCGTGGCCAGAAGTTGGGCCCAGGTACTTGTTAGGATTCAGGGTTTAAGGTTCAGGGATCTGGAAAGCAGTTTTGTGGCTGTACCTTTTTTACGATTTAGGGGTGGCAAGTGCTCGACAGATGCCATCACCAGTGGTGCTGGAAGCGCAATGCAACGTGTTTGGGTTCGTGGAATGCATGTGAGCTACAGTCAATATTTCCCGTAGGCTATACTGGAAAATCAAATAGGAAAAAACATGGAACATGAGATGGAAACTTGGCTTTTTCCAGGGTTAGAGGGTTATATGTAAATATTTCCCATATAATTATTGAACATGGGTTCCTTATTAGGGACTATATTAGGGATTCTACTTAACTACAAGAGGGACCGTATTTGCACCCTGTATGGTCCCTTGCCCTTGGTAAGCCTAACATTGAGAACAGGGTTTAGGGGTTTAGGGTTTAGGGGTTTAAGGTTTAGAGTTTAGAGTTTAGGGTTTAGGGTTTAGGGTCAGTAGCTCATGTAACCTTACACCTAGGGTATAAGCAAGGGACACTTCAAATCCCTGCTTCTACGGAAGCCTGAAGATTTTGTCGCCATTCTGCTCCCGTGGAATTCATCGACAACTCTAGTGTAATATGGCAGAAAACCCTATCCTAAGTATGTAGCCCCTCTATACGAGCTAGAGTCTAAATCCCATTGAATAAGCCCTATACTTACTCCCCTATATAATCTCCTATATAAATCCCCTTTAAGGACTGTAGACTATAGCTCACATATGCATAACCTGAACCCTAAACCCATATATATATATACATAACCCTAAAACCTTAAACAGCGAATCTGCAGGTGCAGGCCATGGAAGCAGAATTGGGCTCCACACAGGCAGGGAAGGGCAACCTGCTCGTGTAAGGTTTGGATTTAATGTAGATTAACAAGCCCCCTCCTTAGGGGCCCTAATATTAGGATCCCTATTATAATCTCATTAAGGGGAGGGGGTTTATTAATCATGAGTTTACATTATGGGCCCCTAGTCTGGGAAGGTTTACCATTTAGCGGGGTAAGCAGGGCGTCACCTTGATCCCTGTATAGTTATTATTGTAGATACCGCGCCGGGTGGTTGGCAGTATATTCACCTAGCCTCTAAACCCTAAATCCCTGTACCATGACAATTATTGTTTCAATTCGGTGCTCTTTTCCAATTGAATCTCCATTATTGGAGATGATTTAGTCGCCTACACGCCCCACCCCGAATCCCTTTGTACCATAAACACTACAAAGCTCTAAACCCCTGACCCTAAACCTCGTACCTCCTAAGCAGCCTGAACCCTAAACCCTAAGCAGACGCTGAAGTCCCCTGTCCCAGGCCAGCGCAAAGTCGACGGAGTCGGCGCGGCGCGGGGCCACCGAGGCCCTGGAGTGCACCGAGGCGGCTAAAGTGGGGTTTTTAGGGTGTAGGGTCTAGGAGTTCAGGAAAACAGCCCTGCGCAACCCAACTGCCCCTAGTAATAAGCAACAAAAATCAGAGTTGTGCTCTCCGATTCTTTCAGGGGACTTTTGAGATGTAAAGTCTTTGGGGTTCAGGGTTTTGGGAACGGATTCGGGGTCTAGGGGTTGGGGGGGGAGGTTGGGTGCTTTCAGAGTTTCGGGTTTAGGACCTACTACTAGGAAGTAGGAATCAGGGTCTGAGGTTAAGTCGTTCAGGTTATGGGCTTAGGGATGTATGAGTCAGGGTTCAGAGGCTCAGCGACCACCCGACCAAACTGGCAACCGTAACATCTAAGACGTTATCAAGAGATTCCCATAAACCCTAAACCCCCAAAACCCTAAACCCAAAACCCTAAACCCTAAACCCTAAATCCTATTCTCTCAAGAGCCAGCAGGCCCAGACAAGCCACCTCGAGCGACGAGTGGCAGAGCTTCAGGAGCAGCTTCAACAGGCAAACGCAAGGGTTTGAATGGTTTAGGGTTTAGGGTTTAGTGTTTAGGGTTTAGGGATTAGGGATGCTGTGTTTTGTTGAGGGGGGGGGGGGCTTGAGGTTGGCGTTTAGGGTTTCATGATGACACGCACGCAGCATTCTGGTGGTTTCCGAGCAGAGTTTTGACAAGGCTCTCTACTGTCTTCAAATTCAGGGTATCTGATTATGCTTCGTTAAGGGCACGCGTGCTCATATCTGAAGACCGTTGCATCCGCAGTTATGAGCCCTACATCCTATAGGTTAGCAGCTCTACAAAGAAACAGATACTGAGGATGGTGCGGCTTGTACGCTCTAAGCCTGAAGCCCCGAACCCCAAACCCAAAAGTTTCGCGTTTAGGGTCTAAGCTTGAGGGTTTAGGGTTTAGGCTCGAGGCTTTAGGGTTAAGGCTTTAGGGTCTATAGGGATTAGGGTAACCCTAACTGAAGTTAGACCATTAACTGGTCTCAGCACTCCCTTACATGGATTCGGTCAGGGTTCACGGCATAGGGTTTAGGATTGGGGTTATACTCTGAGCCCTAAGCCCTATAAACCCTAAACCGCAGTTATAGGCCTTCTAGGGTTCAGGGGAAACGCCTGGGTGTGCACCGAACCTCAAGCCATATCAAGCCGTGGACCCTAAGGCCTATAGCTTAGCCAGACGGTTTTAGGGTTTAGGGTCTAGGGCTATTGTATCCAGAGCCCTAATCGTTTAAATCTTAAACTCCAAGAATTCTGGCTAGCAAGATATGTTGCGTCCCCAATTTTGTGGTTCTTTCTGCGGAGACCTAGAATCCAGAGCATATATATATATAAATATACATATCTATATGTATATATATATATATACCCTGAAGTTTAAAACGAACCCGAACTTGGCTGCGGCAGGTCGGCAAAGGCGGCAGTGAGCTTGCAGTGCTTGCCGCCCAGAACGAAAGCCAACTGAAGGATAGGGTTCAAGGTTTAGGGGTTAGGGTTTGGGACAGGATTTGCTCGGCTACCCTTGGTTCCATTGTATAATCTTTTTCACGGATTCCTTCTTGGGGGTTTGTTCTACTTACAAGGGGCCCTGAGAATCTTCCCCATTGAGTTCCTCACTCTAACTCCTAGATAGCCCCAAATAAGGACCCGCAGAATCCACACTAAGATCTTCAAAAACCCAAAAGCGTCTGAATGCACCACCATCGCCGCTCCCGCAGCCCCCACTACCACCGGCGCTGCTAACCCTACTGCCCCTGCAGATGCTACGGCTGCACTGCCATAGTAGAATTGCATAATAATGGGGATGATAAGGAGAGTATGTGGGCTCCCTTGAAGGGTTACATCAGGATGGTTTTGACAAAATTCCCTTTGACGGAAGTGATCTCCTGTCGCATCAAGATAGCGGACAGTATAATGTAGCACGTCAATACAATTGCCTAAACCCTAAACCCTAAGCCCTGAATAGTAGTTTCCTGTTTATTTTCCACTATCCCAATATAACCCTAAACGTGATCACATCACCCAGTGTCAGGACCTCAAGCGACTGGAGGCGGAGAAAGCGGAGCTGAGCAAGCAAGTCGAGGCCAATCCGCCCGAGATTCTGCTCGGGCTTCGATTTCGAGTTGTGCGGGTTAAGCCAGGAACCCCTGAGTAGCCTTAATTTGGCTTATAGATCCCGTAGTAGTGGTACTGGGTAGTTGGAGGGTCTAGGAACACCCATAATCCTTAACTCTAAATCTAATGTATGCATGTAAGGTGTTCGTTGACGGTTTCGCGTCGAAAGGTGTTTGAAGGACGCCTTGCACACTCAGGATTCTAAGCAAATGTTTTGCTTCATGGTGTATACGGTGGTGTAATGCTTCCTCCATCCGCCGGAGAGAAGGTGCGGGGAGCAGCAGTACCATGAGGACTTAAAGCAACTGAGTCGAGAATTTCAAGATTACCCGAGGAGCCCAACACCCCTCACGGAATTAACGGGTACTCCTTCAACCGTA